TCCCCATTAAGGAAACTTTAGAGACAGAAGTTGTTCAAACTGGTTAGGCCCACAGAAGGGTGCCTATCAACCACCTCAAGTGCCAACAACACCAGCCCTTCACTCAAAGAGGCACTCACTATTTCTTGAATCCAATCCATCATCACCTCCCAGGTAGTTCAAATAAGCTAATTTCTTATCTTATTTGCAAAAGTAATCCAGCAGATAAACCTGCCTATCAGAATCCATGGGATCAAAAGAATCCCTGTAATGGGAAATGTCTCCAGATGTCTTGAATCACTGTCCTGTCCACAATACTACCAACTTGATGACCTCCAGATGTTCTGGACTATAACTCCCATCATCCCTAGCCAGCCTTCACTAGACTGTTGGGAAATTATACAGACAGAATACTATGAAACTGGATGTTGTAATGTCACCACCCGCACACAGGTCTCTTTATACAGTACTTACTTCTTTCAAATAGAGGATTTAATTACTCAGCCTTGCATTACTTGTATGATGAAACAGAAATGATAATTAGGTAAGGGATCATAACTTCATAGCAACATTAAAGGATACAAGAAACCCAGCTTACGATTGTGTCCAAGCATAACAAGATGACTCACGTCATTACTGTAAAAGGTTGCCCAACACAATAGTACAAAAAGGTATTTTATTATCTAAAATACAAAGCATGTGTCTGTAATTGAATTAAATAGGTTCAGACTAGTGTTCAGCATGAACACATATATAATTGAGTACATATATCAGTCCTTGGGAGTTAATCTCTTACTCCTACAATTGGCAGGCTCAATAAATGTTGCACTGGAAACTAGTTGGGAGTTGTGGGAAGATGAAGTAATAGAATTTGCCATTCCAGATAGAAACCATTGCTTGGCTTCAGAGGTTTTTGCTTCCCAATTTTCCAGATATTTCTTACTTCCTGAAATCCAAATGGGAAACTAACTCAGATGCCAACTACTTATGAACCATTCTTTCTGCGTTCTACACAGAGCCACCTGGAAGAATAGATTACGTTCTTTGAAAAAGAATGTTAATTCAGAAAGAATCACAAACATGGAATTGCACCAATAGTGCCCAGAAATGGAGGGAGATGAGAGAAATGTGATTTTATAATAGCATCACAACTTCTATGCTGCACACCAGTGCTATATGGCGAATCTGTGGCGTTGTAGGAAAACTGGAGAAATTTGTCGAAAACCACATTGAAATCTTAATAGCTTTAGTGGTGATGTGAAATTGATTGCCCTATTCTCCTTGTGGCAGCACCAGTGAACTGTAAACAAAAACACTGATCTAGATTTAGTAATCACAGAAGACCTGTATTGCTAAGGAAGCCAGTAAGAAATTTGCCAGGTCAAAGTATCACACAAGGGCTTCACCATCCCAAACCAAAGCCACGGTATTTAAAAAAAGGAGAGTGGAAGTAACAGAAGGCAGTGAAAGAAAAGAGAGGCAATGAAGGAAGGAGACAGGCCGGGCAAGTTGTCAAATGGAAGAAGAGGAGATTGATTGAAATACTTGCATTTGGGGATGAGATGGGGATCGGAATGGGAGAGGAAGAATACCTTCTTTTTCCCAATCATTCTTTCTGTAACTTCTCAAGGACTACAATGGGTGGATGGAAAAATACAATTCTTTTAATAAAACAGCTTTAGTTGTTTTTCACAAGCAGCTGAGAAGCTGGTTATCTGGAACTCATCTACAAGCAGGGCCTCACATAACTACTGTTTCACTGAAAAGAAAAAATAATATTGCATGCAGGAAAGAAATATTAGAGAAGATTAGGCTTGCTTCTTGATTTTTTTAAAAAAATGTATTCATCTGAGCTCTTACTTTTTGTCAAAAGTTCATAAGTTCACAGTGTAACTTCCCTTCTGCTGTTTGTGAGAAGTAAAGTCTTAACCAGAAGTGTCAACCAATCAAATGTTATTTTCAGTACAGAGAAACATCCTATATCTAGGTACAGAAGTTAGACAATAATATTGTTTCTGTGGTTTCCCCAAAAACTCACACATATAGATGACTTCTTGGGAAAAATCACACACGTAAATCAGACTTACTTCGTGTCATGTATACGCACACTTATACATGACACAAAGCAAGATGGGCAGATTCATGAAGCGTATTTGCAATAATACTCAGATTAGATGAATTGCTTCTCACAATTATTCAGATCCCAGAGTTGTCCTTCAATGTTAATTGGTCCTTGGTGTTATCTAAGACAGTTCCTTGGGTTTTTTTCCACAGGCAGAATTCAGCACACCCAGGGTTAACGTTCCTCTTCTCTGGCACTCTGGCTTAGCTCAGAGTATTGATTACATCCCCTAACAATAGCAAGTCATTAGGAGAGATTTTCTTATTCCATCTCACAATTGCTCCTGACACTAAAGCTACAGCCGAGGGGCCAAAGGCACAGCAGGAATAATCCAGCAGGGTCAGAAGGAGGGGTCAGAGGTTAGAGGCCAGGACAGGTCAATGCTAGGCACCCAGAGCTCCAAGCCAGTGGAGCAGGTGAAAGGTCCATTTCAGTTTCATACTAGCCCTCCTGCTGGAAACTTAAGATGCACTTTGGGAGACTCAGTGAGTTGGTTCACAATAACTTGGAATCACAGACAGGAGACGGCATATGTCCCATAGTTTTCACTTTGAAGGAGAGTGGATAGTTGGAAACAGAAAGAAAGGGATAGTTTCGTGTTTTGAACTTCCTGGATATAATCTTGCCAAATGCAGAGTAAAAAGCTTATTAGTTAGCTTATTTCTGGGACCACAACCATGCATGAGTCTTGATGTTGGCTTCAGGCAAACAGGGTAGTTTTTCACCCCTGGGACAAGTTTGATTTCTAGAAAATGACAATAGGAATTGGATCTATGCATTCATATCTACAGTACACTGTCAACAATGTCTACGTTAATAATATAGAAGGACAGTAAAATGTTAAAGTATGATTTCACTGAAATTTAATATAACAGTAAAACATCTACATTAAGTGACGAAGATAACATTTTCAATATGTCATTCTTAAAATTTAAGAACAATTGAACTATCAAATGCTTTATGCTGTTTCATACGAAATCCATCACTTTACAATTACTCATACTTAAAATAAGTTTTATGTCATCCATAGTCCAATGAGTGACTACAATAATTAACTGTAAGGAATCTTAGTTGTAGAAAAAAAATGAATTTTAGTTAAAAAAGCTATGCCTTTATCAGATATACTCAAGCTTATTTTATAGGTAAAGGTAATGTTTTTAAAATCAAATAATTATCTTCAGGAGAAATCTACATTATTCCCATCTTTGACAACTGAACCATATTGCATTTGTATAGAAAAGGAGTAAGTATAAATCATTCTGTTATTGAAGATGTACCGAGGTAAAAACAATGCTTCATTCCAACACTGGCAGGTGGGAGGAGATCTTGACATTGTAAGATTGTAAAACAATTCATGAAATATATTAATTTGATTTTGAAAAAAAAAGTTAATATTTTTGGATGTCAGTATAGGTATTCTTTATATGGAATGGATGGCCTGTTTCTTCCACTGCTTCAGGATAGGAAATCTGGGGGAGGGGGGGGGGAATCCTGCTTAACAGCAATAAACTAGGGCTAGAAACCCACGGCTTCCTAGTATAGGGAGATCTTTTCAAAACTCTTTTATACAATGATTGAGAAAAGTGATGTCATTTAACTGAACAAGAAGCAATGGGTGGAAACTAATCAAAGAGAGAAGCAATTTAGAACTAAGGAGAAATTTCTTGACACTTAGAACAATTAATAAGTGGTACAACTTGCCTTCAGAAGTTGTTAATGCTCCAACACTGGAAGTTTTTAAGAAAATGTTGGATAACCATTTGTCTGAAGTGGTGTAGGGTTTCCTGCCTGAGAAGGGGGTTGGACTAGAAGACCTCCAAGGTCCCTTCCAACTCTGTTATTCTATTCTATTCTAATTCATTCCTTACCAATATTGTTTGAAAACATTTTCATCATCACTTACTTTCTTAACTGTAAATACAAATAATATATATTTGAGTACCAATTACTTTCCCATAACTCCTTGAGATTTGTAACTATAGGCAAGTAATTATATTCCCAAGAACAAATGAATTTTGTATAAGAAAGAGATAATTAGGCTTTCACTTCAAAATCACCAAGAGAGAAAGCTTTTATATAAGAACACTGGATTTGTTGTGACATACTAAAAACAGCCTATTGATTTCAAGATCTCTTGTTAACAATTCCCTCTGTTCTATCATCCCCAAAGTGCTCTTGAAGTAGAAAGTGGAATTGCCATGTTGAAAATTCTGACTATCAAATTATTACAAAGCAGCCAGTGCTTTCTATCGTATGGAGTTCAGCTTTATGAAAACTCTCAGTTTCACTCAAAGGAACAAGCAAGATCACCCAACCTATAAACTTCATCAATAGGCTTCTAATCTGCTGAAGGTAAGTTAACCCTTCTCAGACTGTCATTTTCTGGCTAGATATCCTACACTCCACCATCCTGAAGACTGTGAATGCTAACAAGGAAAATTGAGTTACTGAATTGTGACTAAATTTCAGTTAATGAACCAGTCATTTTAGGTCTAACTACCTTATGGTTTTTAACTAACTATCTGCTGGTTTTACCAACTGGAAGTGATCTGATGATGATAATGGCTAGCCTCTTGTGTCAGAAATACCAGCATTGATACTAGACCTAATGTATTACATTTAGTTCAGTATTTAAGGACTACAGTAACAAAGGGAAACTTGTCAAACCTTAGTTTACCTATGGTCCAATATACGGAGCAGATCATCCGTTTAATTTAATTTTCTGATCTATCAATTTCTTTTGTCATGAAGTCACCACTTGTTATGTTTATGCTTGATAAAACCTCATGTTTGCAGGACAAGGGAGCTGTCTTTTTATTCTGGTTTGAAGAAATGAGTTTATCCTCAAACTTTGAATCTGCTATCAACAAATTCAAAGATTGATCAATCATGTCAGCCAGATTTAATTTGTTGTTTAAAGACTTTTTACATATTAATTGTAGTTCTTGACTTATTTTGTTGCTGATGTTTAGACCTTTCCCTGTTTTTTAAATATTTAGTTATAGTTTTGAGGTTTGCCTTTTTTATACATTATACTAATGACATTTAAAAAATAAATAAAAATAAAGGTAGTGTGACCAGTTCCTGAATCTAAGGAGCTTTCTGAATGTTCATATTTTCCTACTTCCTTCCTCATTAGATTTCCTGCTTAAGCAGTGGGTTGGACTAGAAGACCTCTAAGGTCCCTTCCAACTCTGTTATTCTTTTATCATCCTATCTGTTGAGGACCCTTAAAGATCTGCCACCAAACCTCTGAATGTTACCATGTTCTCCCCATATCAAATTGTTTCAATATAAATTTGGTTCTTGTATTTTAACTACCTTATTTATTATTTATTTATTTATTTAATTTATATCCCGCCCTTCTCCCCGAAGGGACTCAGGGCGGTGAACAGCCGAGAATTAAAATAACATGCAATATAAAAGTTAAAATAATTAAAAATAAATTAAATTAAACGGCCGCCCCAATTTAAAACCCCTAGCAATACAATTAAAAACCCCTAAAACCTATTCAGGCCAGGCCGGCTTGCTGAAATAAAAACGTCTTCAGGGCCTTACAGAAAGTGCGGAGATCCTGAATCAGCCGTATTCCGGGAGGTAGCTCGTTCCAGAGGGCGGGTGCTCCCACAGAGAAGGCCCTCCCCCTGGGGGCCGCCAGCCGACATTGCTTGACCGATGGCACCCTGAGGAGGCCCTCTCTGTGAGAGCGTATTGGCCGGTGGGAGGTTATCGGTAGCAGCAGGCGGTCTCATAAATACCCTGGCCCTAAGCCATGGAGCGCTTTAAAGGTGAGAACCAACACCTTGAAGCACACCCGGAAGACCACTGGGAGCCAGTGCAGCTCGCGCAGGAGAGGTGTTATATGGGAGCGCCATGTCGCTCCCGTGATCACCCACGTGGCCGCATTCTGGACCAGTTGGAGCCTCCAGGTGCTCCTCAAGGGGAGCCCCATGTAGAGAGCGTTAGCGTAGTCCAGGCGAGAAGTGACGAGAGCATGAGTGACTGTGCATAAGGAATCCAGACTCAGAAAGGGGCGCAACTGGCGTATCAGGCGAACCTGATAAAAAGCCCCCATGGCCACGGCCGTCATATGCTCTTCTAAAGACAGCCGTGTGTCCAGGAGGATGCCCAAGTTGCGAGCCCCCTCTGTGGGGGTCAATGACTCGCCCCCAATAGCCAGCGATGGCGCCAGCTGGCTATATCGGGATGCCGGCACCCACAGCCACTCGGTCTTGGAAGGGTTGAGTCGAAGCCTGTTCCTCCCCATCCAGACCTGCACGGCCTCCAGACACTGGGACATCACTTCAAGGGCATCATTGGGGTGGTTTGGGGTGGAGATGTACAGCTGAGTGTCATCAGCGTACAGATGGCATCGCACCCCAAATCCACGGATGATCTCACCCAGCAGCTTCACATAAATGTTGAACAGGAGTGGCGAGAGTACCTTACTGTGGATAAGAGGTACATTTGTTGATTTCAATCTACAATTTTTTAAAATCCTGAAATATTTGGATTTAGAAAATAGATCAATTGCTGGGGACAAATTAATAGGGTGAGGAAAGGGAAGCAGAAAAATGACCATAATTTTATTCTTGTTATCTGATCTTATCTCTGATCTGAAATAATATTCCCTATTACAAACTATGTAAGTGCCTCATATGAAAGAGACAAGCCTGACTGGGGCTATAAATAAGAATCTTTATTCTTTGTACAAAGGCAACAAAAGCTATCATCACCTTGTCAGATCCAGGTTTTCTCAAGGCAAATTGACTTTGTTTTTAACTTTTAGAGATAAAACCAATATGCTGAAGAGGTGCATGCTGGGTACAGCCATGGGGTCCCTATGTAGGGGAAGGAGAGGAAAGCTTCATTCAAGCAAACCGATTCCTGCAGATGAAGATCAAAGCTTTTATTTTTAGAAAACAATGTTAACCTCTGCATTTTTTAATTACCATGCTGTTTGATGGATGTGATTTTTGTTGTTGTTGTTGAAACTGGGTCATAGGATTTTACTTTCTGCTCTCAGTTTTGGGAGTATTTGTTGTGTCAGTCTGTGGGGCATTAAAAATGTGTGTACATCCTCTAAGCCAGGACTGAAGTAATAAACTATTACTGACTTTGGCTCATTCCACCCCAGCAGCGTCTTTTTCATGAACAGAGCAAGCATTCTGTGCTAACATGAGGAAACTCAGCAGTTTTTCGCCTGTACTGATGACAGTTGCCAAGAAGACTATTCTATATGGCTATGGAACCAGGGTTGCATATAACCTTTCTTAAAAGTATGAGGATAAGAGAGTGGTTCTACCCAATAAGAATCTTTGGTTTCTACCATGAGTTGCCTGTAATGCTGCTCCATCCTGTGACCTTTGGATCCACAGAATAGAATAGAATAGAATAGAATAGAATAGAATAGAATAGAATAGAATAGAATTCTTTATTGGCCAAGTGTGATTGGACACACAAGGAATTTGTCTTTGGTGCATATGCTCTCAGTGTACATAAAAGAAAAGATACATTCGTCAAGAATCATAAGGTACAATGCTTAATGATAGTCATAGGGTACAAATAAGCAATCAAATCATACTAGGAAACTATCAATATAAATCGTAAGGATATAAGCAACAACTGTTACAGTCATGCAATCATAAGTGGGAGGAGATGGGTGATAGGAACGATGAGAAGATTAATAGCAATAGTAATGCAGACTTAGTGAATAGTTTGACAGTGTTGAGGGAATTATTTGTTTAGCAGAGTGATGGCATTTGGGGAAAAAACTGTCCTTGTGCCTAGTTGTTCTGGTGTACAGTGCTCTATAGTGTCGTTTTGAGGGTAGAAGTTGAAACAATTTGTGTCCAGGATGTGAGGGGTCTGTAAATATTTTCACAGCCCTCACAGCCCAATGAAATTGCTTTTCATTGTTAGAAATATGCTTTAAAAATCACTCTGAAATCAGAGTGACAGAGACGCGTAGGACAACCACAACATTTTGCAGCTCAGTTTGCCAATAGGGGGTTAAAAAGGTGTTTCAGGATCTAGGCTGGATAGAAAGAGGATCTTAGAATACCTGTGCAACCTCTCCATCTATTACTTCACAAGCAAACCCAGTTTCAAAATATTTACTTTATAGATTGATCTGTTTATGGTTTGGTGCTCCATTTAAGTGAGGATGGTTGAATAGCACATAGCCAACAATTAAAAATAGGAAGATTGGCTCCCGTTTCCAATATACTGCTCTTTTCAACTAGGAAGGAAACACATGTTTGAACTCATCAGCTGGTTAATGGTCCAGTTGAAGACAAACTGTTCCAGCATCTCTGACCTTGGCTGTAAATGCCAGTTTCCTGTCACCTCTATTAGAGCATTCTGTATCTGCCCTCCTGCACTCTTAGCCTTGAACAAGCTGCATATGCTTCTAACCACTATGAACGAGAGGCTCAGGTTACAAGCTGGAGAACTAGCAGCTGATCAAAGCCTTTCTCAGCCTTGCCATTCCTCCATCTCTTTATTACTTGACCCATAGTTTCTGATGTGCGGTAATCACAATTTATTTTCTGTAGAACTTTTAGGTTGCAACTTCTATGAACAACAGATCTCATTATGGGAATAAAAATCTCCTGACAAAAGTTCTGACAATCAGTTTCTCTTTCAACTTTTGTGAATGGGATGACTGAGTATTCAACAAAAATCCACTGATTCAATATACAGTCACTACTGATTCATCATTCACTTGAGTCGGAATGTATTCTCAAAGATCACACAGGTGAGTTCATATGTTAATAGTAATTTGCCTAGGAACGTGAGTACATCAGTTAATCAGAATAGAGCTGGAAGGGACTTTGGAGGTCTTCTAGTCCAACCCTCTGCTCAAGCAGGAGACCCTACACAATTTAAGGCAAGTGGCTGTTCAATCTCTTCTTAAAAACCTACACTGATAAAGTATGTACAACTTCTGAAGGCAAGCTGTTCCACTGGTTAATTGTTCTTACTGTTAGGAAGTTTTTCCTTAATTCCAGGTTGCTTCTCCCCTTGATTCATCCATTGTTTCTTATATTGCCTTCTGGTGCTTTGGAAAATAAGTTGACATCCTCTTCTTTCTGGCAGCCCCTCAAATACTGGAATACTGCTACCATGTGAACCCCTAGTCCTTCTTTTTTCTAGACTGTGAATCTGAACTCCAAATCCCAAATTGCTTCTTTAAATCCACAATATTGCTTTAGCACCCATATAATACAAAACAATAATAGCATAAAATAATAACACTTTGATCCTAGGGGCCTGACCAAGAACCACATTATAAAAAAGATACGGGACCATGTATTTCCTACCTTTCACTTTGGGCATGATGCTGATGTTCAGGAAACTGATGAAGATCAAAATATCCACCCAGCTCTTTCTTGGATAGCAAAACAAACAGACTCTATGCTTATTTCATACCATGTTCTGTAAACCCCCAGATGCTGTCTGTCACCCACTGCTTGTAAACCCCATTTTAACAACGCGCTGGATTACTGCCATTCACTATTTTTTATTCTGTAAGATTGGCTCTTACAACACTCTGATAACTTTAGAAGGACAGGCCTTAAAATTTGTGGAAGAATTTAACTACCTTGGTAGCATCATGGAAACAGATAGGAGAACAGAAGCACATGTGAAATATTGAATAGGTAAAGCAACTGCTGTCTTCCAACAAATGTGGTCAATAATAATAATAATATGGACCACGTTCACTATACACACAGCAACCAAGATCAAATTATTTAATGCCATTGTCATACCGACTGCCATCTATGCCAATGAGACCTGGAAATCTATAAGAATTATTCATAAGATGAAAGGCTTCCAACAATATTGTCTGAAAAGGATTCTTTGTATCTCATATTGGGACCATGTCACAAATGAGGAAATTCTACAAAGAAGTAATTCCTGAAGACTCTCTGACATAGTGACAGAATGAAGAATCGCTTTGCTAGACATGTGCTCCGCACAACGTCTAGCAAAACCTGCAATCAATTGGTTATTACCAGATGGTTGGAGAAAGTGAAGAATGCCAAAGAAAACCTGCCGCCAAATATCAACTTTAAATGGAATGATGTAGAGACTATACTGCGGACTAAAAATTGTGGAGTACTCTTGTAGCCCAATGTGCTAAGTCAAGGGTCAGCAACCTGTGGCTCTGGAGCCGCATGTGGCTATGTCATCCCTCTGCTGCGGCTCCCTATCGACAATTGGCTCCACAATTGATAGCGCTTTCAGTTAGGACAGGTAGAGGAAAAAGGATGCCATGCTAGGAGGAGACTCTATGGTGGGGGAACTGGACTTCAAAATTGGCTCCAAATTTTGGCTTCAAAATTGAACAGGAGGCTTCCGGTTAGGACCTTTGTGGCTCTCTGAGTGTTTAAAGTTGCCGACCCCTGTGCTAAGCAAAGGATGTGATGATGAGGAAGATTGCTTCTGGGACTCAGGATGGTACTTACATGTATTCTTGGAAATAAAAACACCAATAGGGTTGACATTTGTGCCTTTGTAGCAGGCATGTTTCCCATTAAATATATAAATAGTAATAATAATAAAATCTGAGGAAAAACTCAGCAAGACAAAACATCTCAATGGTATAATACTTGGCTGTTCAGCTGAATATGAGTCAGAAATGTGATCAAGCTGCTGAAAAAGCAGAAGTAATTCTAGGAACAGATTCTATTTCTTCTAAGTAAAGCTTAAAACTGCACTTTTGGGACACCCTATATATAACATGCAGCACTTTGGAAGGCAAAAAGATAATTCACTTATTCAGGGACACTAATATGGCACCTACTTGCACATCCTTAAAACAGTCATGGTTTGCATGACTGTCTGCTGTGGCTGGTATCCCATCTCAGAAAATATGCATTTAGTTTAGGGACTAAACTAGTTTAGTTTAGTTTAGGGACTTGCACCAAGTGCTGTTTGCATCTTCATATACACCAAAAGAACTTTTTACCTTTGAACCTGAGGCATTGCAGGTAATGGTTTCACTGTGTTCTGAGTTGGTAAGAACTCACCCTTACTATTGTGTCCAATTTTAAGCAATAGCAATAGCACTTAGACTTATATATCACTTCATAGTGCTTTTACAGCCCTCTCTAAGAGGTTTACAGAGTCAGCATATTGTCCCCAACAATCTGGCTCCTCATTTTACCCACCTCGGATGGATGGAAGGTTGAGTCAACCTTGAGCCGGTGAGATTTGAACTGCCGAACTGCAGCTAGCAGTCAGCTGAAGTAGCCTGCAGTACTGCACTCTAACCACTGCGCCACCTCGGCTCTTAAAGCACCAAATTTTAAGAAAGATTCAGAGAGAGGGAGATGGTGAGGTGGACAATAGGCAACTGGAAACTAGGTCTTCTTTGAGGCAATTTATTTCATTTTGATGACTGACCATTCATGGAATATTCTAAACAGCTTACTGTCAGCTTTGGAAACCATATTAGGCTGGAAGCTTCCATGCTGCCACCTTCTCATGTGTGGGAAAACAGGAGGGGCCACATTATGAGATAAAAGCCATGCCAACTCACAAAAGACTATTTAGAATCAATAGTGGTCTCACAGAATATCCTGGTCTAGAACCAGGGGGGAAAAGTCAGGTTTTCAAGGCTTTCTTGAAGGATGGCTGGGTTGGACTTGTATGGATCTCAGGGGAGTGGCAATGAGAATAGGGACAGAGGATGGTTCTTGGATCCCATAAGAAAACACTGTCTAAGATAGTTCTATGCAATTGCTTTAAAGTGCCAAAATAATGGATTTGTTCCAGGAAGGACAATTCCAGTTAAATGTTAGGAAATACATCTTCACAATAAAAGGAGTCCAACAATGGAATTAATTACCAAGGAAGGAAATGAATTCTCTTTCAATGCATGCAAGCAGAGGCAAAACAACCACTGATAAAGAATACATTGCACTGGAATTAAATTTAGCATAAAGGGCCTCTTCCAACTCAAAGATTCCACGTTATCTTCATTACTTGAGGAAGCAACAGTCTGTCTTGTCAGGAAGAAAAACTGGGCAGAAAGGTAAGAAGAAGCAGATAGATAAAGCATGAGGTTTCTCCTTCTCAGCCTTCTGCACAACAGGCAGAAACTTATAAAG